GCATTATTGTTGTATTACTACACGTTAGCAATGCTATATAAAATCACAATTATTTCCAATGAAGTTCTTGATTGTACGGAGCTGACGTTATCTAGTTAAACTACGAAAACTCCTTTTCAACCGTGCGATTAAACGACCAGCCTTGGTATACGCTATCTCCAGTATTCAACGTTTTTTGAAATAAGTAAAATAGGTATACGTAATAATCTGAATACGCACAGGCAGCCCAACCCTCGACAGCATTTAACACAGCTTAGATCAGCTGTCCCATACGGCAAACTAAGCCTAATATGAGATGAAGAAAATGAGCTTGTGTTACCATAACAACGTACTGCGTTCATGTCATGATGTGATTGAGATAAAATCAGATTCGCTTTCTCTGTCACTTTATTTCGGCCTGTATAATGGCAATGTGAATGTCACCTCAAAAACAGTATATAATCGACGCAATTTCAGACCTCTTTGGACTTCAACTTGATCTCACACTTTAGCTGCTATCCCGACTTCATCCATTTCGATGTCCTYTGCAAATATATGCTGTTAGTGTTTACTTATACTGGCTTTACTTTCAATTCCTAGTAACATCCCCACTTTGAATACTCTCTATCTATTGTATAAATCTCAACAAAGCTGGGAATTCAATTTATCCGATCACATTCCCTGAAAAATGACGGTAAGTTTATTGCATTTTCCTATATAGTCACCGTTCATTATAATCTTTCATTTTAGGTGCGCGGAAAATTGATTCCTTAAGCTTGTCACACGTTTTGTACGCTTCAATTAAGTGATRCACAAAATCGGAACTGACATGTATTTTCAATCAAATGAAAAAGGAGGGTTTAGAAATATACATAAATTCTTATATTTCCTTAACGCGGGGCAACATGAAGTATACTGCTATTATATAACGTGCCTCTATTTACGGCTCTTGAGAAATATAATTCTCGAACTAACATGCAGTTGACTTTGGATGAAGAGAACCGCTCTAATCAATTCAGTCACTCAAAAATTTATACTAAATCCGTTTTAGAAGCAGATATTTCGATATGTTTGAACTGATATTATTCACCGCTTGATATACAGTTTTTTTTACAGAAAGAATGATATGAAAACCATTTAATTACGCCCCTGTTGTGGACGTTTGTATAGTGAAGGCACTCCATGCGGTAAACAAACAAAAACTAAAGCTTTCTTCCAGTTTGTTTATATGTTTTTTATAAATTAACTGATGGAGGAGCTTCTAAAACCTTCACCGCTCTATCCATTACAATGGTAGTTCAAAATAGCGCTAATGTTCTAAGTCCGCACAACATGTATCAGAACCGTTTCTGACGTTTTCACATCTAACACTAGTGTATATGTTAACGTTTTGCAGAGGGAGAATTCCGTTTTAAATCTTGAATTCTACAGTATGCCGATATGAATAACAGCTTTGCTTATGTCAAAGGAACCACAACAGCTATCATTAATTGAGTCCAACAGTAAAAGAAAAATTCGTTCAGCGTTTGAAATTGTTTGTTTAGGGTCTCAGGGCAGGTTGGATTCCTCCTTTCTACTAGCATGTACTAGCGTTAAGCTTTTTTTCAGTTTTACTTTCATGTATCCAGTTTTCCTTTCTCTTCGTTTTTTCCCTTAACTTATCCAATTTCTCATTTTCTAAGGAGCAATAATGTTTCAACTTTCAACTTGTCATTTACGTTAATTTTCTCCTCAATCAAATMTGAATATATTTTTGACATTCAATAGCTTTTTTGCATTTGAATTCAATACCTGTCACCAAAATTATAAGTCAGTCTTTATATTTGAGCAAGTACACTAGGATTTTGTTGGATAGCTAATTCGGATAGTGAATATATTTATGTTGATGATGATATTTCTCTGATGATGCCGATGAATACATAAACAAACTAAAAAAGGTCAACTCAGTATTAAGGGTATAAATAYCGATATATGTACTAAAAAAGTATGATAATAATGGCGATGATGAGAGGATTCCTCATCGGGTATTCACTAATATTTATTGTTCAATACTTTTATTATTTGTATATGATATCCATGCAACTAATTCCACCTGCTACTCTCWTTATCTCCTCGAAAATCGCGACTCCTCTTTATTTTTAATTTTAGAGGAGTGCTGTCGACTTTGACGAGGTAGACTAAAACAGGTCGGCAAGTTCTTTCTTTTCAATTTGTTACATCGAACCGAAACATTCTATTTTTTGAGGGTGAAGATTATTTGATGGCCATAGAACAGYAAGGGCAAAACATGATAAAAGTAGAAGGCATTTCGTGAACCAAAAATGACAGCAGAACAATGATAAACCAATGYCATGCAAACAATATATTTGAAAACTAGAAACTTTATAGCTTAATCACTGCTTGGAGCGATTTTGTACCACATGCATTGATGTCTTAAAACATTTAAAACTTTATTCAAAAATAGTATATGATAATATGGCAGGTGACAATGTTCGATCAATATTCACTCGATATTCACTTTCAATTCGCAAACTCTCAAAAAAGGGTTTTTAATTATAAGAATATTGATTTGTCTGTCCGCCATTATCGGTATTAAAGTATTGTTCATTCGACCAGGAGAGACCATGGCACCTACATGCTAAAATAAAAAAGTTAAACTATACTTTTTCTCATTGCGAATTCAATAAAAATAAAGTCGCACTAATTATAAAAGCTGAAATTTAAATCAAATCACACTTCCGTTGCTAGGTGATATTGTACACTTTAGCTTAGCTGTATTCAACATTTTCCTTCTCGGTAGTAGAGATCAAAGAAAGACGAAAATTATTGTGTCTTTTGTTACTATCGCTGTCCTTCACATTTTTGCTTGAAAGGAGARGGGCATTAAGTTCATATAAGGGTAAGTTCAGGCTTTTATTTTTCTCTTATCATTTCCAGTAAAAGAGCAGGGTTATTTCTCTGCAAGTAAGCAGCTGCTTAAGAAGAATCCGGCCTAGCTTGATGGCTATTATTCGTACTTTCTTAAGCCGATCGTATTCACATAAAATCATCCGTTCACAATATATGTTGCGATTCATGACAATTCAGAGCTAGCAGTACAATTATAGCACCATTGGACAACAACATATGCTTTTGAGTTAAAAAAGGCTCAGTATATAATTTWTCCTTTAAACTTATAAATGCACAAATCTTACTAAAGTGGAAAGATAGTATTTCGTACATTACCATAATTTTTTTACCATTAATTTAGGGAAAAGTCAGCAGTATAGTTTACTGGTGAATATGCTAAAAATGAACTGAATTTATTATGAAATTGTACATGCTATGATTTTCATTTCCGGCAAATCGCGCAAAACGAATATTTAAACTATATCCTTTTTTACCATCTTGGTAGTTTGTGTTATTCCATCATATCCCTGGAATCATGAAGTCTTTATCAGGGTTTGTAATATGTGTACTGTGTTGTGTAAAGTGATAATGATGTGATGGTTTTCGCGATATGACTGTCATATAAAAAAGTGTTGTTTTGGTCAGTGCAGAGCGTGAAATATGCTAATATTCTATTTGAAGCAAAAAATCAAGCCTCGAGCTTATATCTGACTTTTTTTTATATTTATTTGTACCAATTGGTTTTGACTTTTTTTTATATTTATTTGTACCAATTGGTTTTTCTAAAATAATTCGGATGATAATGGTCGCCATCTAATATCACGATTCTAATTTTTGATAGTCTTTCAGTGTACTTTCATTTTATGTTAGTCATTTTTTGGAGGAGGGGGGGTGGGTGAGGGGAGAATGTAAAACTAAGAAGGCACCGTACCGGTTACTGACGAGATGGCTTGTACGTCAATAAAAGCCTAAAATAAACGTTAATTTATACGTTTRGAGACAATCTGTTAATATCGGCGATAAATGTATATCATTGCCTACAAACAATTGTGCAACCACAATCCCTTTCGCGAGTTTTATAGTGACAGACACAGGAAGTGTAACCGTATAGTCTTGGCGATACAGGGAGCCCAGTATGTATACACGCACGTACTGACAAAAAWCAACGATGTGTGGACTTATAGCTATTTGACGTGTCAAAGACAAACATCACGTTCAAACATATCGGCATTTTTAAAAGGTCAAACATTCTGCATATTTGCACTTTCAATAAAACRTTYAAAGAAAATAAACGGTGCAACACAAATAACACTCAATTCTTATAAATCAATTATCAATTTATTTGTWTATTGACCTGATTTTCACAACTGATATAGTAAGGATTCGCGCTGTGAGCCCTGCATGTGGTTGTTAATTTTTTAACCAAAGCTGATGATACATATAATCTCGGGTCATAATCTCCTAGTAACTAACAACAACACAAGTATTAGATTACTTTGGTATACATTCATTTGTATAGGCGGATGAAATAGTCTCTATCGCTTCTCACTGGTAGTGTACAAGGTTCTTACAGTTCAAGAGAWRTTGGACACTTTAAATTGTTTATACTTGTGGCGCCTGACCGGCATTTGAACAAACACGTCTYAAAACTCTGTAGAAATTTCTGTCATGGCTGCGAGACGAAGGGCTCGTGGTTTGAAAGAAAGTAGAACTATTTTCTGCTTGACACAACCTGAAGATCTTTATTTACCATTCCAGGGCAAAGCTGTGAGTCGTACCAACCTTCTCATCAACCTGAATAGAATACTAGACAAGTATGAAAGTAAAATTATGAAGAAGGAAGATGAGGATGACCTTATACGTCCTAAAAGTCCTGAGAAGATATATCGACTTGACCGTCAAGACAGGGACACTGAAGTACAAGATGCATGCCGAGTTTATGATTTATCAAACAAAGAAGCMTTTTTAGAGAAATGRCTCAACTTGGGAATTCCACCGTTCTCTATGACGTATTTTATGGACTGTCTATCACGTGGRGAGAGGGAATTGACCATGCGGAATCTTGGGATTGGAGCACGCGGCGCGTCWGCTGTGATGGAGGTTTTGGCGGGTAATACAAATATACGTRTTRTGGATTTATCYTTGAATAATATWCAGAATCGAGGGACATTTTCTGTGGCTAACGTTTTGGAAACAAACCGYACAATTCATCAGTTGAATTTATCGGAAAACCATATTGAAAGAGAGGGAATCGATTCAATAGCCAATATGTTGACCTATAATAACACTTTAACTCATTTAATTCTATCAAGAAACAACTTAAATTGCAAAGATATTCAATTTTTATGCAACGTCARTCAAACTCTTGAAACTGTCAAAGTACTGGATTTGAGACACAACMCATTRCGTGGTAAAGGAGGGAYATATATCGGCGAAATGCTTAGCAAAAATATATCAKTGAGGGAACTTCTTGTTGGATGGAATTATTTCGGAGACGAAGGAATCAAGTACCTGTGTGCAGGSCTGATGGTAAACAGAACCCTMGAAGTTCTCGATATATGTTGGAATGAAATTGGTAAGGGAGGCGGACAATCTATAGCCGAATGRCTTGAGAATAACGGRCGACTTATCGAGCTTAACGTCGATAACAACCACATCACTGACCAAGGTTTAATAAACCTTGCACGGGGACTAGAAGTCAACGAGACGCTACAAGTTCTCCATGTTGGTTTTAACGTCATCACAGCAAACGGCGCGTATAAATTACTGGAAAGTTTAGCTCTGAACCCAAGAACTGCTCTCAAAAGGCTTCACATAGCTGAAGTAGAAGTAACTACTAAGTTTGAGAATTTGTTTTGGAAGATTAAGGAGMCAAATCCATGTTTTYATATTTTGGAGATGAACACGCCTGGTGGTGATATGTATCATTTTGAAGAACCACCAGATCCAATGAATGTTCTTAGCTTTTACCTTGAACAAAATGGTTTGAACATTGATGTTTCTAAGAAGGTGTTGACTTAAATTATATTCGACGAAACAATATAAGGCAATTACTATGGAAATGTACGTCGAGCTTATAAATTAAATTCAAAATAACATAGACCGATCATAGATTTAATTTTCCACACTCTTTTGTTCCCCTCGAAATATGCTATTTTGAGTCCGAAGAGTGTTGTGAAAATTCTGTTGCCTCATTATTATAKCACTCGCGCGCAGTCAAACTTTTCACACAGGAAGTCCAAATTTTTCACCAAAATGCTGGGTAACTTGCTGCATGAGCTAATGATCGATCATTTACAGCCCATCATTTGGGATCTTATTCCGTCTTATTGTGATATCTATTCTGAATTCTCTTTATTATTTATTACTCCGTGATCGGCTTGTGTATTCCATGACAACTCTCCTGTTACAATTTCTAGACATGCTCAATGATTTCTACCATCAACTGAAGTGCTCTTCAAAATGGTTGATCACGTGACTAGGATTTCAATCGTCAAGCTGTTAACCATCMTCTTTGATTCGCCGCTGACCATTGACCAGCTTTCTGTTCCCGTATATGATAACAGCCATTCCTTTATTCAGATGGCTGTTCTTTTCACGAATTTTCAGTAGTTTTCTCAAATCGTTTCTAAATCGTTCATTCATCGTTAGGTATATCAAAGGATTTAAAGCAGAATGGGAAGAGGCCAGCCATCCAGTAACTCGAAATGCTGCTAAAGGTACGATGGTGTTACCTGCGGAACAAGAAAGTAAAATGAATTACCAAGACATCAAGTTTTTGATATCCCCCTTGTAATAAAAACTCCATTGTATTGTCCATCAAATGAGGCGACATTTCGATTTGCTTCAAGATACGCTAGCAATATGACAACCAGGTTGCATTGACCACACCCTTTGTGGCGATGCAAGCATGCATATGTATCACATAATACATTAGTAAGTAATGTAATATACAGGCAAACTGTATTACGGAAATCTCAGATGCCCCGGCAAATAACCAAGTAACGTAAGATATTGGTGTATATGATAGACAGGGGCGTGTGCAGTGGTTTCAAGGGGGGTACAGCTTGAGTTCTAAACTGTTAAAATATCCGAAAATGTGCTACCCCATTGATTTGCAATATAAAGTGTCAGAAATCTTATTGACTAACAAAGAAGGGTCCCCCTCTACCCCCTGGTAGGGCATCACTTACCGACTCCATTGATAGAGTAAACTATGACAAACGGCGTCCAGCTGATAATAAACACGAAGAGTACAGTAAAGACGATCTTAGCAGTACGAGCCTCGGCCCTCAGCCAAACATTATTTGTAAACTGCGACCACATCTCAACCTTACGTCTACTTTGCCTCACTTTCAGATATACTCGAACATAACAGTAGATAATAACGACAAGAGGTATAATGTAGCTAATAACYGATAGAGTTTCGATGTAGCCATCTTGCAGCATGAACGAGGCGCGACAAAGTGCGCTGCTTTGACCAAATGAGTACTTATTCCATCCCAGCAGGGGAGGGGTGGCTTGGACAAAGGACCATATCCAAATAAAGGCGAGTATTGCCCATGCCTGATGTGTTTTCAGTCTCCGGTCAACAGGTAGAACGATAATCCGATATCTAGAGAGAAAGAGCTTAAATTAATAATTAATCACGATCATAAGAATTGCGGACATCACCAGTTCTAATTTAATTTACAAAAATATTCTTTCTTTATTATGTCAGTTTCTAAATATTTTTCTACATTTTTTCCATTTCTGCATGAGCTGGTTTTTATAGTTCAATGTATATTGTCTGCTTTTTGTACACTGATAGATTTGTTTCGTGGCCGACTACAAGTATAAATCATACAGCACCATGCCTAACCCCGTTATGACATTGAACGTGTCATTGATCTCCCAGCAGCATTCAAACAAGTTGAACAGTTCTCCTAGTTTTCAATAAAATTGCTATCGGCTGTAACCCATATAGGTTCTAAAAACTATATCTCGGCTATAATCTTTCCTATGCCTGACGCGTCCTTCCTCATCATTTTGCATCCAGACATTTGGTCTCGCTCGCTATCATAAAACGATCGTTTGACGAAATACAATTTCCGCAGTCATATACGCTAAGTATTAGCATCAAAACCATGTCTATTTGCTTAAGCACTCTTTGAGGATCTCACGCTCATTAACAAGACGTTTTTCTAATAAAAACTTCATATTATATCCAAAGTATGTTTGACTTTCTTAATAAGTTCTTGACGGTTTCCATTTTAATGCAAACATGTGGGGCATGACCATCCCTAGACCTGTCTTCGCGTGGCAGAAATCATATAGCTGACTGCGCACGCGCATAGAGTATTTCAGACAATCATAAGTGAATCATTCAGAATGCTGGTTTTCGCTGTTCATGTTACAGAATTCAGTATTACCTGTTGACTAATAACTGTTTTTGGGCATGTTAAGATGATTTCTTTGTAATAATTTTCAATATTTTAACTTGAAAATGTTTGAAATATTGCAGRGCCATTTTGAATTTTATTGATAGGTGCCGGTAGTCAATGAGCATCAGTTAAGTGAGCATATATCTACTTGTAGTTTCATCTCGTACTACTAATCTGTTATAAAAATACCACTAGGTCCTCAGTAAGAAAAGATGAAATAACAATCAACATGATCGTAGAATACTAATTTAGAATTACRCAGAAGTTAGTAGAAACACAGAAGTCCACTTGTACTTCTAATGATACTGGCAGAAAGCCATTTTAAGAAACGAAGGTGCTTGAACGTAATTGTTCTATTTTAATAAAATTACCAAATAAAATTACCAATTAAAATTGGTTTAGRTGGATTTACTATAGCAAATGCAAAAATTGATGTTAATAAATCGAGGCATGAAATAACGGGAAAACTCACACAAGACCACACAACCTTAGAGGAAAGAGCTTTATATTTAATGGCGGCATTTTTAAGTAAAGGAGTTTAATTAAAAAACGAGAATCTTGAACTATAAACTTGTATATTGTTTCAAAGAAAACTCATCGTTTCTTGGTTGCCCATCACAATGACGATAATTTTTTTATCAGTAATAACAGTGCTATAGAGTCCAAATTACATTTTCATTGGAACGATAGTTTCATTGGCGTGTATGTGTGATCATTTACTGGACCACTTTCAATTAAAAAAATGGTTCCTAAGGCGAAGGATCACCTAGGTCGGCGTAATTTCTAATCGGTATTCTTCAGTTCCGTGGACCCATGCCTGCCTTCAGGCATACATTCTGTGTGCATTGTGGTTACCAAGATCGATATAGATACTTTAATGATAAATACATCGCAGCTAAAAACTGAATTGCGTATTTACAAAGATTATATATTTAAAGAAGTAGAAATAGATAAATAGATAGCTTACAGAATTATCAGAATATATCGATGTCCTCCTACGGTCAACAAAGTTACACTCAGTACGTGGCTGCACTAGGACGGATGAGAATTTTTTTATTCGAAGAAGGGGACTTCTAACCTTCCTGTAGAATGACGCTAAAACAACAACGACAAAAACGATAAGAGCGCAATACAACATGCGGGTCTTTTGATTCAAATCTATCGCACTTCTTTTCTAATCGTAAGATTTTTATTGACAAAAACGGACAGYACAGAAAGCAATAAGTAAATAAAGTGACATGTTGAACTTAAGAGAAAAGAATTTAACATATAAATCTGTACAAATACTGCTCAGAATACCGAGTAGTATCGATGAAATTGCACGTAAAATTTCACCTACTTTAATTCAAAAATACGACCATAGTTAACAGGTTAACCAGTTTAATTCATTCATCAAACATGTTCACTATAAGATATTAAGAAAGTAGTCTTCAATCGTAAAATGAAAATTAGAAGTCGACCTTTTATTTTTGTTCCGCACAAGATGTAAGGTGTTCTAGAGCTAGAGTAGACTTTCACAAGTGAGCATGATGATTAATCACATATCCCCATTTACATCATATATACTYAGATTGACTTGTAGTAGCTATATACATCATTATATATTTTCCGAGTGAACGATCTTAAGTTTCATTCAAAGAATAGTACAAACCTGTCAACGGCAATGGCTGTCATGGTTAGTATACCCGACAAGCCGATGACCATCGTTGTGAAACCATTTACATCGCAGAATTCCTTACCAAACGGCCATCGTCCGTATAGATACGTAGTCATAGATAGAGGAAGGACAAACAACGACACCAACAAATCTATCAACGATAAATTTGCAATGAACATTGTTATAACACTCTGATTTGGTGTCTTTTTCTGCTTGCGGAGAACRGCAAGAACAAGAACGTTCCCCACAAAGACAGCAAATGTTGTAATGGCGAGAACACTGACCATTAAAACTCTACCAAGTGGAGTTATGATGATCTCAAGATGTGTACTCGTTCTATTGTTTGTTGTGCTCGATGTAAAATTCATAGTCACTCTTGTTTAGTTTGTTACGTTTGTACATGAAGTACAGAAATAATGTACAATGATTACTGTGTTCTCTCGACCTGATAATCTTTCGTTAATTCCTTGTCGGTTTTCTTTCTTGTATCTTCAGAAGTCGGCTGGAACCTGCATAAGTTGGATACGTTGTTATAAAGTTGTTTCAATTACTGATCCCACTTTACTTCTAAAAGTCAGAAATCTGAAAATTGCTGATCAGAAGATGATGATAATTGATAACAAATCAGTTGCCTTTTTTTGCTTTCGCAAAGCAACACTTTTGCGTCGATTGGATTAAACGTGAGTTATGCAAGACAACGTCGTACTTGCGCTTAAAGCACGAGAGGAATTCACATCAAAAGCTTTAAAACGTTGAATCAGAGCTGGAAGAGAGTCCTTTAGGCAGGAGGTAGCTTGAACTATAGTCTCACCTACTTTGATCCCGCGAACTCATCACATGTTCTTATTGGATAAAGCGCACTGTCAGTCAAGGGACGCGCATTTCACCTTTGAGTAGAAATTATCATATTACCATATTCTGTATCAAATAACAAATAACATGCGCTATCTCATGTCAATAACACACACTGTAATTGATTATGCGATTTCTTTTGACATAAATGACAATTTGTTTACAAAATACAAATAAACAGTTTCATTTTATTGCACCCTAGTTTATAAGCAAAATTTCGAATTATTTTTTGCGCGCCTTTGATGTAGGATTTCTTGAAAGACTTGGAAGCACCTCCACTCAAAGAGATTTAAGGAAACCGGAGCCAGTTTGTTTGCTTATACAAATTATTCTCTGACGTAAAAGCGGAAAACTAAAAGAATGGTTTTGTATTTACTTAAAATCGCGCATTTTACAATCAAGAAACATTGCCATGGTCTTATGTTTATGAAGGTTTTTAATTATAGAATAACATGGTTTCCGCATGCTAACGTGGGGATATGTATACTAATATAAAAAAAAAAACAGAAAAAACAGAACTTCTACTCTGGCAGGTCCAGTTACCATTCTGATAAGAATCTATTTTTTACGACCATTCGCGTGCCATCGGAAACAAAATATGCTGATCTGTTGAAAAGTAAACTCAACTCGTTATCTTCACTATCATTATCATATCATCGTACTTGCTCGTGGTACTTATGACGTTGTATTTTACTCATCAGATTGATAGYTGTCAGTCAATCTGACACTTTCTTTGATTCCCACAATCCTTTGAGGTGAATTTTCTCTAGTTCAWTAACCAATGATTAAGTTTGAGGAAGTTATTCCTTGCACGTCAATATACCATTAAGCTGAAGATCTAACGAAAGCAATGTACAATGTCTAAGGTAAAATTCATTTTTAATTAGTCCTAMGTGTTTAAAACATTCCACGCTTCTTACTAACCATGCAGAGAAAGTTTCATCCAAATTTATCTCATAATCTTGGATGTAGAATCAGTCTAGAATTGTTTATTCTAAAATTTGCGAAGACATGTATGACGTATGAAAAAGCTGTAATTACTTTTAGTTTTAATTGTAACGATATTTGCGCTAAACAAACGTTTGCGATTTCGCAATATAGAAAGATTGCATTTTCAAAAGAAAAAGAAAAATTGTTTTCGCTGTTTTACAAGCTATAGATCGCTAAGAATTGGACGTATGGAGTGGGGAGCAATTAAGATGCACAGATGATGAAAAAAATCATTCGAGATTCCAAAAACTACTCCTTTTAGAAACAAAAACAACTTGAACTATATTCGGCTCAAAACAGGGACCTCCTCGAAGTGTTTTTAGAGCAGAATATTCATTATTTTTGACAAAGGGTAAGCGACTATACCATCTGCTGTGAATCTTGTGCGAGCGTGAACGAGTGMCTTTTTTAAAACTCTTGGTTCAAAATCAAGGTTTTACATTCGATTGTGAAAATTAAGAAAGCATTTCTAAAAATCGACAATGAATAGTTTCGTTGTCAGTATAAATAAATGCTTAAAATTGTCATTTCTCGTCATTCAGTTTTGCTTAACGGCATACTAAATAAATAGAGATGACAAGCAAAACTATAAAGCCTACACTGATACTCGCAAATTCGCCTTGAATTATTGCTAGGACACAGCATGCAGAAATTAAACTCACTCAAGCAACTACGCAGATGAAACGAAAAATCTGAATAGTACGGTTTTTGTAGCAACTGTACATGGAGCTACAGCACATGTACAGCACTCAACTTTTATGTGGGCCACACAACAATAACACTAATACTAAGAATACTCGCTTGTTCAGCTAGTTGTAAGTGTAAGTTAGTACACCTAAAAATGTTAACGAAAAGCATTCGTCAATGGAAAAATGTGAAAACTTTAAAATGGTTTATCAAAAGGTCAACAAACTTTTGTTCTAAGTGTTTTCATTGAAATTCRGTCATCTTCGTCCCAAGGGATCTCTTTAATTCGCGTCGATCATGCGTCTCTCGATTCGTAAAGCCTACAGCTACGTACTTGCGTCGTTCGGATCGCTTCTTTTTGGTTCTTCAGCTGCTGCCTTTTACACCTTTCACAACAAAGAATATCAGAGTAACCAACATGACGATGTTAAAGTACCGTTAACAACTATGAGTAAAATTAGCGGTTCAAAAGAGAGCTCTTCRGCTCGTTCAAATGTTGCTTGCTCTTTTGAAAAGTCCGTGCAAGCCGCTGACAGTACTTTGAGGCAGCTTTCGACGGCCAAAGAGACATTTAGCGACTTTGAAGCGTTTTATAAGAAATTTGTGGTGGAATTGAACAGTGTWAAAGCTGAGCATCGTGTTGAGGTAAACGAACTTGTTATTTATTTTAAGCATTAGTGTCTTAGATATTTCTATTGTTATTGCTGTTTGATTTACGTTTAGAGGTATATATATATTTCTTACTTTTGATTTCTAAGGAACAGCTTACAAATATGAAAGCCTAATATGATATTGAATTTTATTTGAAATTGCAACACACGACGTAAAAAACTACTTGTTAATAAATCTAATCATCTTTACTAAACAAATAATTAAATAATACAAGCAAATAATAAAACTAATTCTAATTCAAAATATTTTGAATTCAGTTCAACTTTTCCACTATACTGCACGTCGAATCTTGCTTTTTTACTTTATTTTCGAGTAATTTTCAGTTTTTGCATGCATAATGATATTGAGCAATTGTTCTGTATTGTTGTACTGCACAATTAAGGCGGCTTAGCTGGKCAAAAAGACATTCATCACACCAGATAGTTGCTAACTGACCTAACTCTAATCACAGCCTGACAAATCATAGATAGATTGAAGCTTTTTCATGATCAGTGTAAGTAAAGCTTGTTTTGTATTTCGATTGAAGTGTAAGTTTAAAAAGAGCAAAAAAAGTTCATCTGAGAAAAAACATTGCCTCATTGTCTCTGCATGAAGGTACCAAAATTATGGAAACAAAAAATGTTCACCTCAAAAAAGAAGTTTCTTGTGTTAGACAATCTATTAAAACGCAAAATTCAATTTTAGTCAAGACAGTAATGTTTTGATCAAAGTGTTTAATTATTAAAATTAGTCAAAAGTGTGCTAGCATCACAAAGGAACGCTTTGAAGTCCCTTGAGACACTTCATTAGTAGTTCCATTGTTTCCAGATTCACAGDGTTGTTTTGATTATACATTAATTACATGTTAGTTACTAACTGCTAACGATGCTGCATTGGCATTTTATGCGCGGTTGTAAATCATGACCTAGGGATGGGGCTGATTTTAACGGTAATCTTACAGAATTATATAATAATTTACTATATTTCAGTMATGCCCAATCATACTTTACGGCAAGTAAGACTTATACGACATAGTTCATCTCGCGCGCAAGTAATGCCACTTGCCCTTGTCAAACGAACAGAACCGCGTCGTGCACAAAAACTAAGCTTTCCAATAGTTATTATAACCTAAGTGAAGTGTGAGAATACTTACAGCATTCTGTCATTTATCAATGCTATCTATTAATTTGGTCTTAATATATTTACATCCATTTTCAGCTCGCAAAGTTTGAGGCCCAAATCAAAGATTTAAACAACAACAAAGAGAAACTGGTTTCACAGTTACAAAAAAYCAAGGAAGAGAGTAATGAATACAGAGATGAACTTCTGTCTTACAAAAAGAAATTCMCTGAGTTGGAATGGGAAAATGAAAAACTGAACCACGAAGTCACAATAAACAAATCAAACACWGAGAAARTGCGGAAAGACAAAGAAGTACTGCAACAAGAAATCGAGTCTCTCAGAAAAAAAGTTGCGGAGAACAATAATGCAGCGTTGAAATTCTCGCCAAAGGAAGGAGAAAGCGATAAGCTTGGGATAGTAAAACAAGAAGCAGAGGAGCTTGAAAAAAGATATCGACAGGCCTTGGAAGACAAGGAAGCGTTACATGAAGATATAGTTTCTCTTCAAAAGCGAGTTTCTGAGCTACAAGAGGAATACAACAAAAACCAAGATGAGCTGCAYGCACAAGCACAGAATGCCAACGTTAGGGTAAGTTTGATTTCTATTGTTACTCCACTCATTTAATAATTAGTAAGAAACCGTAGAGCAGATTTTTGCAGGCCGAGTAGTTTTCGTTCAAAGAGATTTTCATTAAATTCTCATRGCATTTGTTACCAGGCTTACAAAGCTGAAATACAATTACAAAACATCTCAAGACAAAAAGAATCTCTCAAGAAACAGCTTGAGGACTGTGAGAACGAGATAAAGAGTCAGAAGGACAAGTGCGCAGGTCTGGAGAGAGACATCGTGGAGTTAAAACAGACTTTATCACTGAATGGAGACGACGCTGCSCTAAAAACAAGACAAATTAACACGCTGAAGGAGCTGAACAAGACACTGGAAAATAAATTGGAAACTATGACCAATGAGATTGTAGCACAAGAGGTTAGTATATTTGAAAAAAAGACTTCTGTAGACTAAGAACTGAAACTAGACGAGCCGCGTACTTCATAACAAGTTTACAAGCGGTTAAACATGTCTTGTAACAAAATGAAATTAAAACATACTGAAATGTTTTTTGGTACGCTGGATGAATCCAAACCTCTTATAAGAAATATAATACCGTGTCATCTTTCTGCGTTGTTTGGTCGTACATGTATGGTAAATACGCGCAAACATTTTGATGTGAGACAGCGTTTGGTAGAAGGCTGGTAAATCAGCACCATTGCTTCTACAACAATGTTGCAAGAGAGTAATGTTGTTTCTTGTATTACCACTTTTACGTAGTTAAAAACTTTTCGCTCGTAAATTATCAATGAGCAATACATATTTTTCTCTGTGCRTGATCACTATAGGTATCTCCGGTGACCTTCAGTGCGCCCCTGCAATCATTTGACGAACAGCTATTCAAGTCYAGAATACAAGAAATGGAGGCCATGCTTCGGTCAACGAATACATCTAAAGATAAACTCGAAAGAGAAGTGCTCTTCGCTGAAAACACTATTGTAGAACTGAAAGATTCAAATACAAGGTAAAACTCAATTTGAAAAAGTGACTAAAACACAGACAAGAAATACATTAAATTTCAAATTATACCTCTTTTTCTAAAAGACGTCATGTACACTTATAAGGCAACACAAGCGTTTGTCAGCTCCTATTTTTCTTGAACCAATGTTTCCTTTGCTAT